TGTTCTCGAGTTAAAGGGAGGACCCAGTGTGGCCGGTATGAAAACAAGCCAAAACTTCTCATTCGTCGGTAAACACTTCGCATGCCAATAGGTCTTCCGTGTTCTGCAAACCATTCATTTGCAATGGACCTGGTAGTGGAGAAACGGTCCCTTAAGGCCAATAATCTTAGGCGGCGATCTTCACGGTCTGTTGTTCTACGGCGGCGTCCAGTGCCCCTTGCTCTTTGCGTACGGCCTTCTCGAAGCCATGCCTGACAACACCTAACCACAGTGTCTACACTTCTTTGCACTCTAACTGCAATTGCCCGAAAAGAAAGTACAGCTTCCCGAAGTCCCACTATACGGCCCCTATCAAACTCACTAAGTTGACGTAAATCGTACATGTCTCCGTACTCTAGGCATCGTAACCGATCGTAAAGGATGTCAAGAACCAAAATCCGCCAACGTTGATTCTTTACTGCGGCTGACATATTCATTTTTAGAGCGTTAGTGAATTAAAAAAAAGCAGTATAAAAACCGGAATGTCCAACTGATAAGGCACCAACTTTTATTAAAATAAAACCATTTAAACTGGGTGTTCGGATTTATATGTCACTTAGTATATTAGCTATACAGATTGCACTTAAAAAGTGATTTATGTTCTGTTTGCTGCTCAATAGTAATTTGAAAAGTGTTATGGGGTTTGTTTAGCGGTGCGCCTGTGGCCTGTCTAGAAACTGCGTCGATCGATGCTCAAAATCAATACCACACGTCCCGCATCTCTTCTCGCGTATGTGTCTATTTATGTTGCTATATTGAATTCGTTTAAATCACAGAGCTGCTGCACTGTACGAGAATATGTACAGCCCTGTATTTCCGTACTTGTTTAGTACAAACATACTTTATCAAAATAATTACGATCTAACAGATATAGTTTCTTCCAAGGATTTCCAACATTTCTACATGCGATCAACACCGGTTCGAAAACTGAGAAAACAACTATGCCGTAAATATAAGTTTGACAACGAAAGTCTGAGAAATAACTATAACATCTATATTGAATTTCAAAAACCCCAACCCCTACTGAGCGGGGCCGTGGCAAATGCTTGTTCCGAAAGTTGTTGTATCCAGCATACAACTTCTTCCCGTACACGTGATTGTACACGCGTTGAGGAATACCTCAGTACTGATTGCCGGGTGGCGGTACAAGTCCGTTTGCTTTGGTTGGGCTCAAACAAGACCGATGCAGCAGGTCGTGCAGTTAAAGCGTTCGCTCTTACTCAAGGGCTGACCCAGCTGGTGACTGGCCCTACTTTTTTGCGTCACATGCCAGTATCCTGCTAGATCTCTTTTCGACCACGCATCCTGTCTCTTATAGCTCTGCTATCCTGTCTCTCCTGGGTAACTCAGACCACTGTGTTGTGGATGTTAGGTTTCAATCATTCGAATCATTAATATTATTACACTACAGTATATTCAGATAAGAGATAGACCGGACATAAACAAGACCACGTGATCATCGAACGCTGTAACATTCGGCAGGGACGTATTAAGAGTCACGCAGTACATATTTTAGATAGTAGATGCTGCTTTGCGTAACTTTTTAGTAAATTAGCACAATTCGATGTGTATACGATTGGTGATGGATATAGGATCATGTGGGGGTGGGGTAAGAAATATATAATGATGTAAATATACATAAGGGTCTCAAAATTTTCGCTTCGATTTCTAGCTTCGGATGCCGCCTGATGTTTGGTGAAATACAGTCGAATATAATCTCAAAATGGCGTTTAAATTAGCCTAAATTAAAAATAATCGTATATCTCTTAAAATTGCTTTTAGAATATTGATTAGTATATTTTTTGATTTCTAGGTAAATATGTAACCAAATTAAAACGTTCAAAACGTAAAAAATGTGCATGGTTGAACATTGTCAGAAAGTAGATTCTTGAATAGGTTTTGCCAAAATGGGTTCAAAAATGTCAATAATTAATTAAAAAGTACAGTAGCTTTATAATTACTTATAACTTACCGAATTTGATGAACGACATCTTTTATTGGAAAGATGAGCTTGATGAGCTTTCATCATCGCTACTGCCTGAAGCACCAACGTCAATAATGAATGGCTCGACTTGTTCCTCTAAAATATTGTCCAGTTCCCACATTCCCTTTTCAACTTTGTCTTTCACGTGCTTAATACAGTTTTCCCATGTTTGCGCTGTTATTAATTCTAGTGCTTCTTTGAAAAGTCCTTTGAGGTCACAAAATTTAAAAGTTGTATTGTGCTTAGCTATATAATTTTTAACCTCTGCCCATATGAGCTCAATGGGATTGAGCTCGCAATGGTATGGAGGTAAACGGAGCACAGTTTTATTTTGACTTGCTGCCATTTCGTCAATGGCGTATTTTTGATATTCCGCCTTGATCCTTGACAATTCTTAATAATTGTACTTTCAGCATTGCTTCTTCAAAGTTAATATTTTCGAGCGGAGCCAATTTTGAGCATTAACTTTCCTTGAAGCCGTTATTGGGACCTTCTCCATTCTTCGAGAATGACAAGGCGCATTATCCAACACAATTACTGCGTTTTCCTCTAAGTTCGGTAAAATTTTTGAAAACCACTGTTCAAACGATTCGCCATTCATTTCCTCGTGGTAATCTCCAGTTTTCTTAGACTCAAAGCACTACAGACCGTCAACAACAAATCATCCTCACTGCCAATATGGCAGATAATGAGCCTTTTCCCTTTACCTGGAAATCGAAGTACTAACTGGTGTAGATTTATTTCAATAAGCGAACCTTTTTCTAATGTTTTCATCACATTCAGCGAAAAAACATTGAGACATGAGTATCAGATTGCTATAATTGGGATTATTTAGTCATATTGAAAGAAAGAATATTGAACGTCGTATGATTACTCAGCGCTTCACAATTTATTTTAAAGTTATAATGATCAGGAACCTGAAATACGCGCAAATATTAATATTAACAAATTATAACTTTATAAAGCTTAAAGTATGAATTAAAATGATTAGAAATATTAGGAACGGTACACAATATAAAACTTAGTAACTTTTTTTAAGTTTATAATATTCGACATATTTTAAGATTATATTAAAAAATTATTGAAATATCGAAAACACATAAAAACATGGCTTAAAAAAGTTCTAACGAATGAAAATGACAATAAAACATCCACGCATTTTATCGAAAGTTATAAAAGTTTTGTTACTTGTAATATGTTTTATCTGCCCCCTGGAATTAATGTTTAGAACCTTGTTCCCAAGGTTTGAAAAACATCCGATTGTTGTCTATTACTCGTATTTACCTGCTGGATTTCTTAATCCGGTGGACAGTCCATCTAGAAAGGCCCTCCTGGATGAAGTTACAGAATCATCAACCCATACTTTACTTGTAGTGTGTCCTGCGTTTACCCACGTTTCATCAAGGTAATAAATCTTCCTGTTTTGATTTCTATGTTTCCCAATTTTTGTTAAATAATCCCTCCTCCATAGCACAATTTCTTCTCTATCCAGTAGTAAACTATTACGACCCCGTTTTTTCCATTTGAAATTTAAATGCTTCAGTAACGCATGGAAAGTTGATCGTTTGAAATTTGGCAACGTTGTATCTCCATTTACCTCCTGCAGTACTTTATCTATAGTAGGTATTTCATTCCTAAAGAAGAATTCATGCACTTTCCTCCTAATCGCATGCTTATCAGCTTCATCCAATGATTTAACAATACTTTTGCGATGTTTACTGGTCATTGGCTCAGAAAAGGTGTGATTTTTTTGTATTGTCTCAACACATTAAACACTGATACGCGACACACCCAACTTTGTGAGAAACGTTCACAACAATTTCTTTGATGGTTGATGCCTCGTTCTCCTCGCGCTCGATCTTATATATATTCAAAATGACGTCTTTCATTTCTGCACTCAGGTGTCTTTTTTTAGAGCATTTCCTAGGTGGACTACAGGAGTTTACAACTTCATCGGCAGTATCTGTACTACTGGGCATTTGCGCAAGCAGTTGATAACAATAACAATCAATAACAAGGTATAACAATAACAACGACAAACTCAACAACTTAATAAGATAACAAACGAAAACGTCCAAAGAAATATCAAATTGCAATGATGCACACGACATACGTAACCCGTCTGAACCTGAATGTGACTCTGCCTTGATACGACTGCTCTGCCGCTCGGCATAGGCATTTAATTGCGAATTGACCAATGAGGGCTCCTGTTTTACGTCGAGACGGCGGCGTTAGCGTGAAAATCACCCGAACCTTTTGTTTACATCCGGTCTATCTCTTATCTGAATATACTGTAGGACTAACCATCCCACCTGAAATATATGACACTCTAAAAACGCTCAAATATTTTTATTTTTGTTTAATCGACTTGTAATTTGTAAATAGAAACCTTACAAAGACAAAAATGCCTAACTGCATCAGTAACACAATAATCGTACATTACCGTTACAACTGTTATAAGTTCTTCTGCACCGACATCATCTGTTCCTCTAGCTGCAGCGTCTCTTATCTGAATATACTGTATAGTCAAATACCAGAATTGATGACAGTAGCAGAAGTCATCGTGCGCCACTGCTTTAACGCGGTACCTTTTGATTACAGCGACGTTTGCCAACATGTCACAAAGAGGCGCCGCTTTTTCAAAGGCCTGCGCGTAATAGCAGTGTCGTACGATGAGTTTCGTTACTGTCATCAATTTTGGTATCTTACTATAGTTAATTATAAATGCCACGTACTTATTTGTTCTCATATAATAAAATATTGGCTTTCCAAGGATTTCTGAGCAATGGTTTTAAGAAGCAATAATAGGATAAATTCTAGAAGTTCCACTGAGGTTAAAAAATGAAAATCCCGAATCCGCGCTTGCAAGCACCTATATCCTGTTGTGCGGTATCATTTCGCCTAAACACAAATCCCATACAAACAATCGTAATAATCAACATATTATACGTGTGTCAGCACCGTCGACGTCCATATCCAGACGATAAAACGCGATGCATGGCGTGATTCTCTCTTCTACACATTTCGTAAGGTTGTCGCTGATAACTTCTTGTTTATGTTGCCTTTTCAACCGATAAGCAGGTCTTCTCTTATATATCTGAAATCATATAATATTCATTCACAAATCGTATGAGGCATTGAACGACTGCGAGCAGTTTGGTGTGTTCACGCGAAATTCGATGAAGTGCAACCAAGACATGATCCTGCCTAGCCTGGATTCGTGTAGAAGGAGCAGATCTACGGACACGATAGAAACTATGCCGAGTTTCGATCGCAGTCCGTCGTATCTTCAAAATTGCAACCAGATCTTCATCAAAGGACCTGCTCTCACCAGGGAGATCCTCGAGAAGATGAACGAAGACTTGGTGCCCAAGCAGACTGTCATATTTGGATATGAACTGAACACTAAGAAGTTTTTATGTAAGTTTTGACACATTTGAATGGCTGTTCTGCAACTGTTATTCGAACTATGCAATTTGCCACGAGATTATGTTATGTACTGTGATTATGATGATCTGTTACACTTCCAAACAGATTTACCTTTCAAACTACATAGAATGCATAAAAAATAAAATAAGTTTATATTGTTTATTTCCAACGAACTCCAAGTTATTACAAAACTACAGTCAAAAAGAATAGACATACAGAGTATAACACAAAAAAGATAACTTAACATTGTCACGTACCAAAATCACGTATTTTTTTACTATTTCGATCACTTTGTAATTTGAATTTCTCTTTATTAATGGCAGAGTGCTCATTTCCCTTTTCAATGATTTTCCTTTGGTAAATTTCATAGTTTATAGATTTTACAATTTCACACGCATTATATCTTTCTTTCTCAGTGATTCAGTATTGTGTTGGTTTTCTATCGTACATATCTTCTTCAAGTCACTTTCCTCCTTTGTGATGTGAGCGCCATTTGTTCAGCCTCTAGATTCTGGAATATAAGATTCCGAACACCAGCTTGTGGAATAGTACCTATAGCACCTTACGTCTAGTTGTTTTGGTTTCGGTGCTACCCCGTCCATTTTCTAATGGAACTTTAATCTTCGGTGTGGAGTGTTGTTGTATGTGCTGGAAGTTTCAAATTCAGGTTTGCCTGCAAGATGTACATAGCTCTCTAAACAAATTTATTGTTTTTCTTCACGTAAAAAATGCAAATGAAAGTATATAGAGAAAAGCTGTCAGGATATCGTGACCTTTGAAGAGTATACGAGATGAGTGTATGGTTTGCCAAGGATAGCCCTCAAAATTCTATTTTGAGTTAACACAAGTTTGAGACATTAACAACCTCGATGTCGACATATAATTTTAACTGTCATATTTATAACGTTAATTTAACTTAACAGTCCTGTACAGAAGTAGTTATGTTTTATTAGTTCTCCATTACATCACCATTCGCTACACCTGTTAAAAAACCATAAGTATCTTTAATTTTTGATCTCGAATTTCCAGATTTTATAACTATGGGGTTGTCCAAAACGGAAGCAGAAAAGTAAACGCATATTAAAACAAGAAAGATTGATATTCAAATCAAGTTGGGTACTTTATTTTGAAGGTTCATTTATACCATTTATGTATGAAAAATAATATCGCTCAAATGTTCACCACGACTGGATTTACAGACGTCCACGCGACGGTCGAAATTTTCAATGACATTTTGCAACATGGTCGGTTCTATGGCATTTATCTCGGCAATGATGTTGTTTTTGAGTTCTTGGAGGGTGGCTGGTTTGTTGACGTAGACTTTGCTTTTCAAATATCCCCATAAAAAGAAGTCCAAGGGAGTCGAATCGCACGATCTTGGTGGCCATGGCACATTTCCTCTGCGCGAAATCACGCGATCACCGAAGAAGGACTGCAATCGATGGATATTGACGTTGGTTGTGTGGCATGTTGCACCGTCTTGTTGGAAATAAACATCGTCCATATCCATTCCTTCAAGTTGCGGCAAAAAATAGTCCTCTATCATCACGCGATATCGCTCAGAATTTACGGTAACGACGTCCCCGGCCGCATTTTCGAAAAAGTAAGGTCCGATGATGCCTTTTGACCACAATGCACACCACACAGTCACTTTTTGAGGATGCATCGGCTGCTCTTGATACTCACGGGGATTTTCGTTCGCCCAGATGCGGCAGATTTACTTGTTTACCGTCCCATTCAAAGTGAAATGCGCTTCGTCGCTGAACATGATTTTTGATGAAAAATTGGCATCAATTTGGCGGTGTTCAAGGAGCCAATCTGAGAACGTTCGGCGCGAAAAATGGTCGGCCCGACGCAGCTCTTGCGTCAATTGGATCTTGTAGGCGTGTACATTCAAATCCTTGTGGAGAATGCGGAGCAAACTGGTTCTCGAAATGCCCAATTCTTGGGATCGCCGCGTTGTTGATTGTTTCGGATCGTCTCTCACACTCTCCTTCCCAACAGCAATATTTTCCGGTGTGCGAACGCTCCTTGGCCGGCCAGAGCCTGGCAGATTTGCCACAGAATCTGTTGCCTCGAATTTACGCACCAGACGACCGATGGTTGTTTCGTTTGGGCGGTTGTTGCGACCGAAATGTTCACGAAGCGCGCGAAACGTGTTTTTTATTTTTGCACCATTTTTGTGGTGCTCTTGAATAACTTTAATGCGGTCTTCAATCGAATACGACTCCATAGCGATCAATGGTAAACATTCAACTAACAAAATGACATGTCGGTGACAGAAAACAAAGATGGCGTCTATGTCAAATTGACGTTTACTTTCCTGCGTCCCTATTGGACAACCCTTTCATATAATTATCGCCAATCGCTCTCAATAGACGCAATTTCTTATCACAAAAAATCACCTGCCTTGGAAAATCACCAGTATTTTACAATAACCATTAGTCTTTTATCTCTTCGTTCAGTGACATACGTATACATAACAGCTATCAAGTATGCAAAAAATAGAGATTAAAAAGTATGCCAAGCATCAGAAGAAATTTAATCTGATCGTATGGATTAGCCGTCATGTGCGATTATCAGACTGGATTGTACTTTATCTCAGTGTATTGGTAAATATTGACATGATAGATAAGAAAACGAAGTACTCAAGCTTGAGAGCTTTCAAGCGAGACTATGATGCAAAGCGATCAAGGTAATTAAAAAAATAATCTCAAAAATATCTCGGATATTTTCTATCAATACTACAGGGTAAAAAAGCTCTAATTGCGAAATCGAGAAACAAAATAATATAAAGATGTTTGTTTCTCAAATACACCAGTGGTGAAGAACTGGGATACTTTGGCCTTACAAAAATATATTCCACGTTGCTTACCTTCTCGAAACACATTAAAATTCTAATAAAAATTTATTTGCACATGAATTTGTACAATTCTTTACTGACATAGGCGAAAATTTAGCAAGTAATATACAAGCAAATGTACAAAATACTCAGCCTCCAAAAAGAACTTTGAACTCATTTATTTTGGGTAAAGTCGAGCAATGTGAAGTATACACCACTGTTATGTCCTTAAAAAATCGGAAAAGTCCTGGGTTCGATGGTATTAAAAGCGAGCATTTGAAAGTTATAGCCGAGGACATAACAGAACCACTCACTTACCTAATCAACAAATGCTTTGAATCTGGCATATATCCCTCAATTTTAAAAAAAGGTAATATAATACCGATACATAAATCAGGAACAAAAACAGATGTTAACAACTATATACCAATATCAATAATATCCAGTGTAGCAAAGGTTTTTGAAAAAGTTTTATCTACTAGAATGATTCGATACCTCACAAAATTCAAAATTTTAAGTGAAAATCAATATGGATTTACAGAAGGGAAGGCTACATCGGACGCAATAACTAAAATTGTAAATCAAATACATCAAAATATTGATAACAGAATCCCTTCAAGCTGCATTTTTGTTGATTTAAAGAAAGCTTTCGACACAGTTAATCACAAATTATTATTAGAAGCATTGGAGAGAATTGGTTTCAGAGGAAACGCGTACTCACTGATCGAAAGTTATTTGTCAAATCGCCCACAATCTGTGCAGATATCAGGATCATTTAGTAAAGAAATGTATATTAAGTGTGGTGTCCCACAAGGAACTGTCTTAGGTCCGCTGTTATTCAATATATATTTAAATGATATTTTCCAAATTAATTGTGTTGGCAAAATAACTAGTTTTGCAGATGATACTGCAATATTATATGAAGGCACTGACTGGTCTGATCTGAAAAATGTAATTGAAAATGATTTTATCAAAATTATTCGGTGGTTTAACAGTAGAAAATTAAGCATTAACTACTCTAAAACACATTTTTACCATTTGGATCTTATGCTAGACATCTGCCAAATTATACAAATTTCTCCTTCAATATTAATGATCAAAAAATGCAAATTAAACATAAAATACCTTGGAGTGGTCTTGGATCCTCACTTACGATGGGACATCCATGTCAATTATATTTTAAAGAAAGTTAGATTTGTATCCTACAAAATTAAATACCTTGGGAATATATTGACAGAAAAATATCTTCGAACATTATACCATGCACTGATTGAGCCTCATCTCACATATGGTATATTAGCATGGGGAGCTGCATGTTCCTCACATATCTATAATTTAGATGTTTTTCAAAAAAGTATTCTAAAAATGATATTTAAAAAACCGAAACTTTATCCCACTGAAAAATTATACGCAGATGTTCGAATGTATGATATAAGACAGCTTTATTTCTTACACAGTATCACTCACTACCATAAATTTGTAAACACCGACCAAAAAATTAAACATAATTATTATACCAGGTACAAAATTCGTGGCACAGTAGTTCCTCAACCGCATACATCTATAATGCAGCGATCATATCTCTATTTAGCGCCTAAATTTTATGAAATTATACCTAAAGACTTAAAAGATTTACGTTTCGGAAATTGTTTCAAAAGAAATTTAAAAAAGTGGCTACATTCTATATCTGGGACTGAAATTCATAAACTCATAAATACGAACATAAACTAAATACATAATCTTCTGTAGCTAATTTTTGTCCTTTTTTGTCATTTGCATTCTACAGTTTCAACTTAAATTTATTGGTCCATGTACAGGCGATGCCTTCTATTGGGCCTGTTTTGATTTTATATTTATTTACTCATATTGTTTGTCATCTTTGTACATTGAGTGAATAAATATTATAAAAAAAAATGATATTCAAGAAGGTATAGTTGTAGTCACCGTTTTTAGCGGCAACGTCATCAACGCCATATGAAATAAGTAAACAGGTCGAGTCTCCGTACAATGGGCGGATCTTAATTTTCCTAGCTAACGCCAGCAAACGTTCATACACGGGGGTAGGTTGCATGTGTATGTATGACGTAGATGGAGGTATATAAAGGGATACTGGAAGTCTCATTTTGATCCGTCAAGAACGGTGACTATA